ATAAAGAAATAGAAGTTGTTTGTATGTACCATGTCGCTCTGTTGAACAAGACCCCAAAACACAAGCTATTTTTAGAAGAGACGAATATTATTCTGTCAGCAGAAAAATAATACCCAATCACTATGCTGGAAGTACTAGACCAAAAGTAATGATAAAATATATATTTATAAGATATTGGTCATGCAAAGATTAATATCATGAAATTTGTTCTGATGGAACAAATTTTATGATATTTATTATCATATGATCCAATATTGATGTTATTATGCAATTATGATCATGATTTACAAGTCATTATTAACTAACTAATTTTTAATTTAAGATTGTTATGCTTATATAATAATATACAAAAAATAACAAGAAGAAAAAAATCTATAATTATAAAAGTTTGCATAATAACAATATATAATATACTATATATATAATCATATTATAAATTTAAATTTACTAATATCAGTTATGATACCTAGATGTCAGTTGTGATCTCAACTCACTTAACCATTAATAATAGAACTTCTGAATCAAATAAATGCCCTTTAAAAGTATCTTTAGTCGGAACTCCAAAAGAAAAGCTAACTGCTATTGAAAATACTGATAATTCTGTATTTGAAATGCTTATAACTAACTATATTACTCAAGAATATTAATATACAATTTATGTAGTTATTTCACATGCTAACCCACGATTTGAACATCTTAAAACAACTATTCAACAACAAGAATCAATTATCTTTGTAGTTGGCCAAATGAAAATTATAGTTAATAAATTCTATGTTAACGCAAAAGATATTAACTACATTACTTTTAAAAAAAAAAATTCTAAAACAAATTACTACCAACTCCAATCAACTTTGACTAATTTGACAAGAACAAAGCTTTTACTTATACCCTGGTCACTATATCAAGATCGTAGGGCATAAATCAGTTATGTCCTGGGCACTATGTGATAAGCGGGACTTTCAGCCCCGCTTATACCCAACTGCCCAGGAAATAACTATTACATATCCACCAAAATATTACCAAAAATACGCCTATAACCTATACACTACCAGTAACAGCTTCAAGTGATATTGAAAGTGAAACTTCGATAAAATATAAAAGATCTGAAGAAAACAACCAACCTGTTAACATAGAATTTACCAATGCTAACAATTACAAATCTGAAGCAAATGAATCTAACCCTATCAAAATTGATCAGGAAGAACATAAAAAAACCCAAGTCACAGAAAAGTTTTGCACACAATCAAAAAAAAGATCATCCAATTAGAACTACACATGGTCCTAAAAAATTATATCATACGACCGTGGAAAATTTTGAATCTGACAAAGAATAGATACTTTAACTATAATTACTACCTTCGCATATTTATTACTTTATTTACTGTACTTATCTATGTATTATAATACATTATATATGTTATAAAAGGTACATAATTATTAGTCTTACGATATTACTTGAGTAAATTGTATTTAAAAAAAAACTTTTTTTAAAAGTAATTTTTTTATAAACTGTATAATATATACTTATTTATTAACTATACATGTTTGGTAGCTAAAATGACATACCCCCCACAGCAAAACAAGGGGATCGGCCAAAAAATTTTTTTTTAAAAAAATTCAATATCTCGAAGAATCAGATTGATTAGAATAAAATTATCATAAGAACAAATTTTCAAATTTTTTTGCCCATTCCCTCTTTTTGCTGTGGGGGTCCCATATATCAATGAAGTTTGATGCGATTTTGATGATTAAATATTCAAAAAAAAGCTTAGAACTTACTCTTTCTTTTGAATATTAAATCATCAAGCTAGCCTCTAAATTCATCAAGATATGAGTTGTGAAATTTGAGGTATAGATTTTTTTTAAAATGTCGATCTACCTGATTTCTATTGATGGCAGCCCATATATATACTTTATTAATAGATAGGATTTACCCATATTATCGGTAGTACAGTGTACTATATTGTGATAGTTTTAAAGCTATTTATCAACATAGCAAATTAATAAGCTATTAAATACCTGTATAAAGTACTTTATATATAGGGCAATATATATTTAAAATTTAGTTGCTTTAAATATTTTTTTGAATTTTTTAGAATTTTTTAAAATTGATTTTTTACATTTTTATTAGTAAAATTTACTAGTAAATTTGATAAATTTTATATTAAAAACTAGGTTTAATTTTTTTTTTTTTTTTTTTTTAAGATTAAGATAACCTCTCTGGCCTGAAAGCTTTTATTAGAGTCTTAATGACATTTTGCAATTCAATGATGATACATCAAGCCATACATACACTTTTGGTGTCTAATTTAAGTAGTTTGCCCAAAGCAGTAGTGCTATGCTAAGGGTTTTACACTATCTGTCATACCTGTACCCAACTACGGGATACTCATTTAAACTATCTGGTTCTAACTGCCGCCTTTAACTTTTTAACCCTGGGTAGAGGCCTGCATTAGGTCCCAAAGCCCGGCCTGGCTTGGGCCCACCCAGCCCAGTGTGTGGGCCTTCGTGGTCTAAAAAAAATTTTTATAATCGCGGGCCGGGCCAAGCTGAAATTTTGAAAAAATTTATATTAAAAATTTGTAGGCCAGGCCAAAATGGGCCGGGCTTGACAAAAAATTTTTAACTATGAGTGAGCCTGAGCTGGCAAAAAATTTGTAACCCTAATTGCGAGCTGGGCCCGGGCCTTAAAATTAGGAATTTGCAGGCCTCTAACCCTGGGTATTCCTCACTATTTATTCATGGATTTTGATATCTACTTTTGCAAAAAATATACTGATTGCTTTGGAACTTACTAACTATTTCTAGCTAATTTATTTTTAAAGTAACTAACAAAGCAGTACATATTGCATACATGTATTCACTATAACTTCTTTCTAATTAGTACATATTAACCTGCCGTATTATATTTATATTTCATATTACCTTTGGGATGCTGTCATTCTATAGTCATTTAAGCACCAACCTTTCTAACTAGATGCCTATTATATACTCTTTGCTCTTATTTGGTTCACAACAACCCTGATACCTATATTTGGAATATCTTCTTATCTGGATTCTTTATTGGTCCCTTCTTTACTTCTAGCTAGCAATCCAAAAGGATTGGTTTGCCCAGGCTTTAAATGCCTCATGATCACTCTTCTTTTGGTCTATATTTTCAGAGTATATGCTCTTTTTTCTCAGTGTATTGGCCTGGCAACTTAGCTAGTGTGTTCTCCTACTTAAGAACCTAGTCACTTAGTTTTTCAATTTCAGGCCCTGATTTGAATTTAGCCCTTCTGTGATACTGTCAAAGATTACTGTTATCTCCAAATTTAGAACTTCCCAAATGGGGTTTAAGTTATTCCAATTTCTCAAACTTATTGCATCAAAACTTTTATTACTAGATGGTGTAACTGAAGTTACAAATTTAGTTCTAGATCCAACTAATTTTATTTTATTTTTTTTATTCTTTGACAGATCTTGCTGTGACTTGACTTCTTAGTTTTTAGTACATTTAATTTATATACATTTATTTCTAAGACTAACTAAAAGCCCAACTTCACTCAGTTGTCTATACAGATACCTAGGTGCACTGTTGTACTAGCTTACGGATAAGCTAGAAAATAAGCTCTCTTTAAGAACTTGTCTAAAAGGGGTTTACACCCTTTTGTATCCAACTTAAAATAGCATCATTCTACATTTTTCTTGTCTCCTTCTCCTTTACTGATAATTCTTTTCCTTTAACTCTTTTTTCTTTCTAGGACTAGACGATATGCCGCTTTTTTTCTCAATCGATTTTCTCTTGTCCTTCTTTTTTATGTTTTGCTCTTTTTTTTATTTATTGACCTTAATACATCTATTCTTCTATATAAAGTTATAAAAACTATTCCAGATCATATGCATAGCAAGTTCTATCAAATTTGTGGTTGTTTTCGTTGAATTTAAGAGATTATTAATTCTATCAAAAGTGTCCATAGTGGATAAGCCTTTAATCCAGAGCTTTCTTTTTTCGATTTTATTAGCTTCTGTAGCCCCGATTAAGAGCCCATAAAGGAGTCTTTTTGAACAGAGATACTTTTCTTTGCTTGTGAATTTGGACCATACTAGATCAACTGCTGTATTCTCGATACGTTGCATATTGACTTGTAGTAGGAACATTCTGACAAGTGATTCTGAGTTTTTGCAGTGCTAATATTGCATGTTATACAGTTACTGCTTGTATAGATACCTAGTCTTCTTGTCTTCAAGGTTCTGAGCACCAGTAAGTTTTCTGAAAGGCATTTCAACTACGTTGCGAGCTTTTTGCTTTTCTGCAGTATATTACATTTAACACCTTTTAATTTCTTTATCCTTTTTCAATACGTATATCAATCTAATTTAAGATTATTTATTTCAGGTTCTATGGCTTTGATTGATTCTGTTAATCTCCAATTTGTACCATTCCAGGTTTTAAAGATTTTTTTAAATGTAGGTCTAGTTGATTTTTCGATTTTATGATCACCCCAAAATAGCGGAAAAGAAATTCTTGTTTTCAGATCCAAGTGAATATTTGTTGGGTGTGGGAATAATGTGGCTTTCTTTGCTAATGTATCTGCTAGATTCAACTAATAATTATAACCACCAACTATAATACAGGTCTATTTTTCAAAATCATTGTTTGTAAAATTCAAACTCTAGACCTACTACTTGGAGAAAGTGATGACTAGACTACTACACTAAGTCACCACATCTTACTAGGTTTAATTTTTTAAAATTTTAACTTTTAATATAGAAAATTATTTAAATTACATCTAGTATATATATACTATATACTAATTTATTGATTTACAAATTTGCTTAATATATAAATTGTAAACAAAAAATTAGTATAGTTTAAGGTTAAAGTAAGGGTAGCTTTAGGGTTAGATGAGGTTTTAGTTTATACTAAAATTTTGCAAAAAATATTTTTTATTGGAACACCAAAAGCTATTATATAATCAGGATTTTGAGATATCAATATATGTAGTATATATGTTGTATGTTGCTCTTAAATAACTATTAATTCAAAATTAATATACCTGAGTTTAAAATTTATACTGATTAAAATATAACTTACTTAGTTTTAAAAATTATATGATTAATATGTATGTATATCAATTAAATTCAAGTTTAATATATTAATTAATTTAATAAATTAGATTGATTATAAAAAAAAACAACAAAACAACACTCTTTTCGATAATTATCTGTACCAAAAATTCCAAACACATTTTTGTAAAAAGCACAATAGCACTTAGTAAAAAACAGAGGCACAGCATACTACTAGCTATAAGTCGGTAGTTGTTATTTAGAAGTAGTTCTCATACGCTACCTGCTAACTTCTTTAGAGTTTATCACTTACTGCTTGCATAGCACTTGTTGTTTAGAAGTAGTTCTCATATGCTACTTGCCGACAAGCCCAGAGTTTATCACTCACTGAAAAGAAAGTATAAGTGCCCACCCCTTTCTTAGAAGAAGGTTACGGAGTGGTTGAGTCTTTACATGGATGTAACTACTTTCCTTGGATACAAGTGGTCTCTCCCTAGGTGTTTTTCGCTTGGCCGGTCTTCTCCAAATTTTTCGACAAAAAGTGTGCGATTTGGCTTACCCTCTTCAAAAGATCGGCATTGTTTACCTTCCAAATTCAGACGTACCCAGGAATGTAACCATGTGCCTTGTTTATCAGTAGATACGACACACGACGTAATCTATGGATACGGGTTCTCCACATGACTAGGATCGGGTCTCTGGCATAAGAGACATCCGGAGGTGGCCGGTAGTCGGATATTAAGTTCTTATATTGTAATCAAGATATACAAACGTTGCAGTTGTTATAAAATTTTTTCATAAACCTGGCATGGGTTATAATAGTGCATTTTTTCTTCTTGTTTTGGTTTTTTTTTATCTTGTTCTCCTTATGCTATTTCTTTATAAAGATAGTTTCCCCTTTTGTCAGCCCTTGGGCTTTTCTCTTTGTGTTTCTTTTTTTTACATCTTACTGTACCCTCCTTTTCTTTCCTTTAAAATACCCTTTTGTTCTATGTATTTTTTTAGTTAGGTTTTTGTTTTGTTTTCTTGGTAGTATTGGTGGTTTTGTATAAGATCATCACTTTCTTTTGCTC